ATACCCTGTTTACCAATACTTGGATCGTATGAAGTAGAACAACTCCCTTATTACCATTGTAACACTTTACTCCAGAATAAAAAGATAATTACTTTAAGCCAGGGGCTGTATCCAGATTATCGGTTCGGGGGGGGGAGTATGCTTGAAAATGACCTCTCCCTCTCCAAACAAACAAAGACCAACAACAACAACAACAACAACGTTGCCACTTTCAGTACTCCGTTAGGTTTTTATTTAACATATGGAGTAATATTCGTTACTGGAAAATTGAAATACGATATTTTAAAACAATTTTGATGGGAAAACCCTAGTACAAAAATACAATATGTTTTTTCTCTCTTTTTCTTTTTTTTTTTTGTAGGGACGGAAGACAGTTCTTGGGGTTCCCCCCGTTTACGGCCCAGCTTTTTAAACGTCCACATGGAAGTAGTGGCAGATTAACCAAGCATAGGGTTAGGGACCTAAAACAGTGGGCTCTAAAAATCCTCATATACTTTTTAAATTATGACTTTTATCTTCGACCTCTTTGTTTGTTTGAAGTCAAGCACAAAGCTACACATTGGGTTTTCTGTGCTCTGCCCACCACGGATATCAAAACCCGGTTTCGAGCGTTGTAATTCCGCAGACATGCCGCTGTGCCTCTGAGGAGGGGGCATTTTATCTTCGACCAAATTCATAACAAAGCTCGCCTATGTGAAAATGAATATGATCAAACTTCGCCCCCTGCGCAATGCTCTAGACCAGGGCGTTCTCGAATAGGGGAATCAATTAAAATTTTCGACAAAAAAAGGATAAAAAAGGTTTTTGATAAAATCGTTTAAAATCAATGAATGATAATTACAAGATAAAAATTATAATTTCTAAAAGTCTAAATATTGATTTTCACCACATTTAGTTGAAATATATCACTCAATTAAAACAGGTTTTTTATAAATGTGTAACATATAAACACTCGTGCAACATTGTGAACACGGTTAAGTTTTTTTAGGGTTTCTTTATGACAAGCGCCTTCGGGCCCTTCCCCGTGGATAATCTATCCATACATGCAAGTTTTTGTAAACAAGTATTCAAGACCTAATATATCCCTGGTTAGTCACTCTGTTTTATCTGGTGATAGTTATCTAAACAATATATTTGATGATAAATCAAATTAAATATCCGTTTAAGATGATTCAATCGAGGCAACTTGTCCAATAAAGTTTAAAATAGGATCAATATTTAAAATGCGCCACCGCGAACGTGTTTGGTGTGACTGAGATTCGAACCCGCGCCTCTTAGATTGCGAGTCGAGAGCCCTAACCACCTGGCCATTATAAGAACAATGTATAAGATTTATTCTTAATTCTGAAATCACCAACTGGTAACAACCGTGGACGATTTGTTTGTTTTGAATTTCGCGCAAAACTAGCCGTCCATAATTTTGAAGTGATAGTCTATAGGGAAAGCAGCTAGTCTTCACCACCCACCGCCAACTCTTTGGATACTCTTTACCAAAAATAATGGGATTGATCGTCGCATTATAACGCCCTCACGTTTTAAAGGGCAAGCATTTTCGTTAACGGGATTCGAACCCACAGATTGCGAGTTGACTGCCCTAACCATCAACCAAAGAGGATCACTTATTTTAAGACTGTTAAATTCTGATTGACATAATCCCATCGAAAATCTCGGTACAGCGGTACTTTTACGAACTTAATTAACGCTAAAATCCTGAGTTCGATTCCCAGTGGTGGACACAGCAAATAATTCAATGTGACTTTGGTCTATAAGAGAAAGAAACAAAGAGACAAGTGAAAATATTATTACATGTCAATCTATCATATAAATGGACGGAAATTAGTCATCTCACATCAAGGATAAGATATCTCAACACAATATATTCAGATACGTTTATTATTAATGAATAAATAAGATCCGGGGTTCGATTCCCGCGGCGTACAGAGTGCAGAGAGTCTATTTTGTCGATTTTGCACTGAGAAACAAAAACGGTAACTAAAGAATGAACACTATCGACGGGCTTGATTTGTTGTTAAACACAAAGCTACACAATGTACTCTGCCCACTACAGGTATCGAAACCGGAATTGTAGCGTCGTAAGCCTTCCGACATATATTAATATAAAATTAAACATATCAAAACTCCACGGCATAAATGTATTAGTTTTAACAGTTTTGTGTTTATTTGATCCCCGGTGATCAGACTAGTGGGTCATACAGTTTCTATTCGCTGAGAATGATTTTTGTCAGACTCACTTCTTCCCCAAGAAAATATCCACCCCCAGTAGTATGGTTTTGGACCTTTTCCACAATGCAGCATAACGCGCCACCTGCCGGTTTTCTCGTCAATATACCAGTAAAAGTTACCTAAAATGCAGCCAATAAAGAGGAACACAAAAGAGGTGAGTGTACATCCGAACATAATAAGTTTGAATAAATCTTGATCTTTATTCGCCACCACATACGAAGGGATTGAAAGCCAGGGCGCTAACGAAGACAGAACTACGAAGTTCACAAAGAATATCAAAGAGAAAAATTCAGAGGTGCACTGTCTTCGTTTTCTCTTCTTCTCGATAGATGGCGAAGTAGTCGGGATACTTTCTGACTCTCTGCAAAAACGGGAAATCAAACTTTAACACTTGAACGGTAATAATCAATAATATCGAAGATTTTAAAAAATAGATGTATGAATACATTTATAAGTCATTGAATAATATGCGATATACAGCCTATAAACAGTAAAAAAAAAGGTTTTCTTCCAAAATTATTACGTGGTCATTGTCTTTTGTTTGTTTGCTGCTAAACGCAACGCTATAAAATAGGCTGTATGTACCGTGCCCGCCACGTGTTTCGAAACCCTATATTTAACGTCATAAGCCCACATAAATAACTTTTTATCGTGATTTTTCACACTGAATCTATTGTAGATAACAAACAAAAGGAGGAAATATTTTATTTTCTAAATGATTATAAGTAGTAACTGAAGAGACTATAAATTTGAACAAAAAGAGTTTTACTTGAATACAAAAAAATTCTGTTAATTTTGATGCATATATATTGTTGATTAAACGTTCACACTCGATTTTTAATTTAAATAAAGATCTTTACTAAATCTCCCTGGATTTAAAAGTTCCGTAAGAGGGCGATACGAACGAAGTCTATGTAGGAGTAGTCTAAGACGTGGAAAATGACTGTGACATTGAAATCAAACAAGGTGAAATATTTGCCAAATTTTTAAGTAAATTTATTGAATAATTTGAAAACGATGTTTCGGGCAAAGACGTCTCATCGAGTTTGTAGTAAGAACAAAACGACTTTTGGAAGAGATAGGATATAACAACCAGTTAAAATGACGAATAAAGGAAAGAGCGCGTGACTCGTTTAGCTCGAGAACATATTCTCAAGCTAAAAATAAAATACATCAAAGAAAGGTACAAGAAGTAACAAAGAACATTAATTAGATCAGTACTGTTAGATGAGATAAACATCGTAAAAAAGGCAGGAAATTAGAGAGTAAACTGAGTATTGTTTGTTTTGAATTTCGCGTAAAACTACACGAGGGGTATCTGCGCTAGCCGTCCCTAATTTAGCAGTGTAAGACTAGAGGGAAGGCAGCTAGTCATCACCACCCACCGCCAACTCTTGGGCTACTCTTTTACCAACGAATAGTGGGATTGACCGTCACATTATAACGCCCCCACGGCTGAAAGGGCGAGCATGTTTGGTGGGATGGGGAGTAAACTGAGTAAAAAACTAAGTAGAACATGGATAGAGACACAAAATTGGTTAGCTGTACAAACAACGTAAAAACACCGAATAATATAGAAAATACAACAGTGAAAGGTAGGGACTGTTATACAAATTATAAATTAACGAGATTTGGGATTAAACGAAAGGCCTCTTGGGCAGTTACTTGTGTGAGACGAAAGATAGGTTTGTAATGGTATTTTTACTCGTTTCCGATTTTTGAATTCGAAATGGACAAGTTACGAGGAATATTAAAACAAAAAATCTGCTTCTCTAGTTTTTGACGTTTGGACCGAAACTTTTAAATAATAAATTAGTTGTTTTGAAAAAAAAAAACCACTAAACTTGAAAGTGGTTTTAGCTCGTTTTGAATTTCGTGCAAAGCTACACGAGAGCTAACTGCGTTAGCCGTCTCTAATTTAGCAGTGTAAGACTAGAGGGAAGGCAGCTAGTCATCA